CATTAGGTGACCAAAGTATCTGAGCTTGAGCTTCATTATCGATCCTTCCAATGAGCAATCAGGGTTGATTTCCTTCCTGCTCAGGTAGAAACTGCAATTTCCCAATTAACATAGAGATTTTTAGTGTCATATCTCATGAGATTGTATGTATGTGATGGTTCATTGGATATTTGTGGAATGGGGCCGTGTTATCAGTTTTATACTGGTCCTTGTACAAAGAAGCTTGGGTCTCTTAGTGATAGGGCACCAAATAAAATTTTAGAAAAAGGTGATTTCATTCTTTCTTCTATATTTCGCTTATGGAGTCCATGAAAATGTGCGTGATTTAAAAAAAAATCACAAAAGGCCCCACAACATCTTTTCTGTTTAAGAGGAGTTTCTCTGACTCTTTTTTCTGCTTCCTCCCTCTCCTCTCCCCACTTCAGATGCAAAATCAAGGCACCATTATGTCTCTGCTGTTTGCTGGCTTTAAAAATAGAAATGGAGGAAAATAGTGCAGCCTTCAAAACCTTGAGTAAACGCACCCCTCCCAAACTCCATGATGTTTTTTTTTTCATGTCATGATGTTTAATTTTTTAAAAACTTCCTTGACGCTATTCTTTTATTTGTTATGGATCAAAGCCTCTAGATTTTTTTTTTTTCTCTCCTACTGGCCTTTGCCAAGTTTTTCTAACACGCAGGGGTCAGAAATGGCCTTTTCAAACATGAGGGCGGTGCGTGCGTGCTTTTGCAGTTTTATTTCGCTTTTTGCTTTGGTAGGTTTGATTACACATTTTAAAGGAATCTTCGAGCTTGGATTAAAATTTTCAGCAGCTGGTAACAACAGTGTGAATCTCCCTGCTTATGTATCAATTTGGTAAGTGTACAAAGTATTTTACCATTTTTTATCTTTATTCTTTAAAGTAAGAATGTAGGACAAGCCATTTTGGATGAAGGCACAATATATAAACACTGTATTGGAGGCTCCTGCAGAGCCTCATACAAGTGTTTCTAGAAAGCCTGTAAGCAGGATATTAAACATACATTCTCCCCCATTTTTATCCCTCAGCAACTGATATCCAGTGATAAATTCATGTATCTCCATCCCCGCACCCCTCATTTCTTTTTTTGAATTAGTCCTGACAATACCAAGCAACCTGTTTCAGAAGAATGCTATGACTGACTATCTTTTGAAGGAGGCCTGACATCTCTGGCCTGCCTTGCCCATCCAAAAAATCCGAAATGTTTTTAATGTGTGGGAGGGTTTTCGTAGTTTTGCTCTGCCACGGTTTCTTTGGGTGTCCTTGGCTGGCTTAACCTTCCTTTTGTAAGGAGGTCC